GTTACAGTTGGTCCTTTGAGGAGGGGTCTGCCAGGGTTGGTCATGTCTTTGTTGCCTTGTCCAGGGAGGAACTGGGAACGCAAAAGAGAAGGGGGCTCCCCTGGGGCAGAGCAGTAGAGGACGTATTTGCACAGGTGGTGGTCAGACAGCACGTATCTTCCAGACTCAGCTCTTACACCTGACCAAGAGCTAGTCAGAGAGGGTGTGCCGTGACCCTCCATCGCTTCCCAGACTGACCTCCCCCACGGGGCCATTGCAAACAACGCGAGGGAACAACAGTTCCTTGTAAATTCTGTAAATGTGACTGAGGCTTGGCTGAAGACAGAGGTTCGGTGTGTGACCAAGGGCAGGGACTAGTCAGGTAGGAGTCAGGGTTCGGGCTCAGGGCAAGGGCTCTGGCTCTGTCTGCTGAACCCGCAGCCCGTGTGGGTTTTCTCGTCAAAGCCCCACTTTGATCTGGGCCCCTGATGCTGGGCCACCCGTACCTTGTGCGTTCACTGGGAGGCAATCTGGTGAGTGAGGGTTTTCGGAAAAGGGGCTGTGAAGTTGGGCAGACCTTGGCTTGAATCCTAGCACGGCCTTCCTATTGGCCTTGTGAATTTAGGTTGGTTTTTTTCTCTGCTTTGAGCCTCAGTTTCCTCATCTGTAGAATTGAAACAGTGATTATGCCCTCCTTACTGGATAGGTATAAGGATTAAATGGAATCTCAAACGTAAAGCACTGAGTACAGTGCCTGACACATAATATATTATTATTATTATTATTAAGTTAACCTCCGGCAGTGAAAACTGGCCTCACCCTCCCTATATTGTCCATGTTTTCTATGGCCAGGGGTCCTGGTCATAGGCATATTTGGTACTAAAATCTCCCTACTGGACCTCACTTGGTTAACAACAATTGCTGGGGCCCCGCAGATGAAAACACCCACATCCTTGGCCATCGATGTTCCACCACCCTCCCTCCCACCTTCTCTGATGTAGCAGGAACAGAGACGTAATTGAGAGTGCTGAGATTACTCACTGTTCTTTCAGAACTGGGCCCATCCAAAAGGCAGTCTGCACCTGGAACTCGGTACCCAGGAGATCACCTCTGAAGAGGTGTGGAGGTGCTCCACCTGCAGAGGAGCCTGTGACCTGGTGGCCTTAGGTGGCAGCATTACTGGTCAGTATATGTGTGTGTGTGTGCGTGTGTGTGTGCGTGTGTGCGTGCGTATCCTTGCAGTGACTGGTCATGGACCCCCCCAGGTGCATATCGGGGGCAGGGCGGTGCAGTGGGAAGGAGATACAGGCTTTGCAGCTTGCAAGGCCTGGTTCAAACACCAGCTCTACAGCTTCCAGGCTATGTGAGCACAAAGAGTTAGCTTTATACTGCCAAGTCTCGGGGTCCTCATCTGAAACAAGGGGAAAGGAAAACCTATCTTACATGGCATTTTGCTGATTAAATTAGGGCGTGCATAGAAAAGACCTGACCCAAGGTCTTGGCACATGGCAGGCACTCAGGTGGTGGCCTCTGTCATTTTTGTGCGTGGTGTTTTAATGGCGAATATGTCCGTGGCTAGGGTTTGGGTTATCCAGTGATTGTGCCACTGTCTCTCTCACTAAGTGACCCTTGATCAGTGGCCACGTATTTGCATCTCTTTTCTGTTTTTAAAAAGAGTTGTAAGAAAGCCTCACGGGTGAGTCTCCTTAGCTTGATGCTGGTGAGGGCAGGAGCAGAAGGTTCGGGCGCATGCACCCCAATGCGCTGTTCGTGTGGGATCCCCGTGCAGGGATGGACAATGGTATGTCGGGGGATTGGGAGCAGAGGCGGGGAGTGTGGGGGTGGGGAAGACTTTCATTCCAAATTCTCATATTTGTCCGTACTTATTTCTATAGAAAGAATTTTTTCTTGTTTTGAGCTCCATATCCCCCAGTCTCTAGTTCGGCAAATATTTACTAATCCTCACTATAATACTTAGAGCTATCATTTATTGAGCACTTGAAAGCACTTTCCACACCCTGCCTCTCACCCTCGGCTCCCTTGGGGAAAGGCTGCTCATTTCACGGATGAGCAAATGAAGCGGGGAGAGATGCGACTACTCGCTCCGGTCTTTCCACTGGCAAAGGTGCGAAGGCCCAGACACTTTCCCTGGGGAGGCAGAAGGATACAAAGGGGCCCAACAATGAACATGCAACATTAACTGCCAGACCAAGCAGCTGAGACACCTGCCGTGGTTCTGTGTCTTTGCAGACGCTGCTGCAGAGGGTGGAGAACAGAGTCGCTAATTCTGTCCTGGCAGGGGGAGTCCTCCTGAGGGGGTGAGGGTGGGTTCACTTTGGGGGAGAGCAGTGAAGTGTGGCTGGCCTGGGCCTGTTTCAGGCGGTCGGGAGGCAGGAAGCCCAGGCAGGAAGACAGATTGGCAGGTACCAGGAAGTCAGGCAGAGCCACACAGGGTTTCTGGCAGGAGCCTGAGTCACAGAAGTCCTGAGGATCTGGTCTTCAGGAGGAGGGGGTCTTCAGCTAGGGAATGTTAGGCAGGGCCCCGGACTCAAAGGAGGGCAGAGAAGGTGAAGGCAGAGCCCATGCTGTAGATGAACGGGGCCAGGCCACAGAGGGCCATTCTGAGGCTGTGAGACCCCAGGGAGGGCCACAGCTACCAGAACCCCCAGTTTGGGTGCAGATGGCCTGATCCCAATCGATGTCTCAAGTGGGGTGCTGAGCCCTGTTTCCAACAGAGCTGGGAGAGAAGGGCAGCTGCAGCTCATAGACAGGGTCTCTCTAGAGAGGCCGACTGTGGGGACTGGGAAGGGCAAAGCCTGGGGCAGCCAGCCCAGGGACAGCAAGACCAGGTATGATGGGGGCGGGTGGAGCGTCCCATTGCCACAGCAATTGGGCAGAGTTTGGTGTGAGCAGCTGAGAGGCTGGAGACAGGGTGGGAACGGCCAGGGAAGGGCTTTCTCTACCAGACACAGAAGCGTGGGCAGGGGGAGATGATTGTGTTTCGATTGCAAGGATGACGTGATCAAATCAATAATCTGTGGCTCTCACTGGAACGTGAGCTTCCCAAGGCCAGCAATTTGTCTCCTCGTTTCACCTGTGTAGTCCCAGCACGTAGCACAGCGTCGGTCGCTGCACAGGTGCTAGACCGATATTCGCTTCACAGATACGAAGAACAATATATGCAATGCTTACGGATACATACACATGTAGCAAACATTTTAAAACTTGGATGAGAATGCACACTAATGGTCAAGGTACTGGTTACTTCGGGGGAGGGAGGAATAGGATTGAGGCAGAACACAACAGGGACTGAAACTGCATCCAGATTTTTTTTCTCATAAGAAAAGCTGAAGGAAATATATGACTGTAAACATCTGTAACATCTGACTGGTAGGTACATGGGTTCCTATTGTATTCGTATTCATAATTTAAAACATATTTCTTGGTTAACAAATAAATTCATGCATAAATATTTTTTAAATGTATGGACTCTCTCTTCTCCAGTAGACGCGTTGAGGACTTGTGGCTTCTTAGGATTACAAATAGGCCTAGATCATTCTCTTGATGCAGATCCTTCCCGGGTCTCTGAATTGTCAAAGTGCCACTCTGAAATAATGAGGGAAAACCTGGTTTGTCTCCCTGCTTTTCTTGATCAATTACTTATAGTATCATTGTGCTTCGAATATAATTCTTGGTGGAGGATCTCAACACCTCTTTCTGGTGGCATGACAACTGTGCCTCCTGGCTCGCCCCTCACGTGTAACAGTATAGGATGTGGGCCGGGCGAGGTGGCTCACGCCTGTAATCCTAGCACTCTGGGAGGCCAGGGTGGGTGGATCGCTCAAGGTCAGGAGTTCGAGACTAGCCTGAGCAAGAGCGAGACCCCGTCTCTACCAAAAAAAATAGAAAGAAATTAGCTGGACAACTAAAAATCTAGAAAAAATTAGCTGGGCATGGTGGCGCATGCCTGTAGTCCCAGCTATTCGGGAGGCTGAGGGAGGAGGATCGCTTGAGCCCAGGAGTTTGAGGTTGCTGTGAGCTAGGCTGACTCCACAGCACTTGAGCCTGGGCAACAGAGTGAGACTCTGTCTCAAAAAAAAAAAAAAAAAGTATAGGATGTGGATTTTGATTCCTAGTGTATCGGGGGAAAGGAGACGTTGTACACTCGGAGAGTGTGCTTGGGCCCAGGCTCTACCTCTACCTAGCTCTGTGGTTTTGGTCACTCAGCCATGGAGCTCGGCATGCTCAGTAGCAAGATGTGCACGGTAACTGCTTCTTGGAGACCGAGAGGATTAACCAAGATGATGCAGTGTGTGAAGGCTCCTGACATGCAGTGGCTGCTCAACTTGCATTCACTCCAGTCCCCTTGGGGGCTCTGTGCCCCCTGACCTCTGTGCCCACTGCTGTCACCCCCAAACCATGCCCTTCCTTCCAGGCCTATTCCAATGCATCTCTTCCATGAAATGGTTCTTCGCAGCCCAATAGCACATGTCACTGACTGCTTAATAGTCATAGTTAATTTTTTCACCTTTTTTTTGTCTCATTAGATGGATGCAACTTTTGCAAGCAGAAACACCATTTCAGGCATTGTTTCAGGGTGGACAACGGCCCACTAGAATGGGAGGTAGACATCTGCGTTAAATTCTTCTAGCTAAACTTGGGGTCCCCTGTAGTTTTGGGGCCTTCGGTTTCATCAGTAAAATGGCAACAATAACTGACCTCACCGGCCTCCTGGAAGATTGATTTAGATATTTTATACGAAACACAGAAGGACTTGAATAAATATTGCTGAGTGAATGTAAACTGCTTTGAAAAACAAAGTTCCTTACAAATGTCAGGTATTATTTTTAAGTCGCCCATAGTATCTAGTAATGGGCCTTCTATGTACCTGTTGCCAAGAGAAACTGCATGCTTGAATATTCCACAGCCATCCAGATGAAGACCGAAAGCGGCATAGCGCAGCAATAATAAGGCTCACTCTATTTTTAAACAAAATTTCTTCTTTGTTCTCACTAGGATCAAGATGACTACAGCCACCCCTTTGGGGGACACCACCTTCTTCTCACTGAACATGACCACCAGGGGTGAAGACTTTCTGTATAAGAGTAAGGTCACCTTGGCTTGGAGGCCGGGGGAGGGATGGCAGGACAAGTGTCATGGTCAGCTCTTGGTGCAAGGGCAAGTGGGTAGACTCTGGAGACAGAGTGCCTGGGTCGCAAGTTCTACCACTTGCCAACTGGGTGACCCTGAGCACATGACTTCTCTGCTGGGTGCCTCTTTCCTTATCTATAAGATAGGGGCATATTAATGAAGCTACTACCATAAGGTAGTTGTGAGGACTATAAGGGATAATCCATACGGTGAGCTTAGAATAGCCTCTGGTGCATATTAAGTACCTAATGCATATTATTATTAATTACTACTATTACTATTGTTTTCATTAGGGAGTCTTGTGGTCTAGAGGGCAATGGAAATTTGAACCTCTTGTAAGATGTCTCTAAACCGGTCATCTTAAAATGTAGTCACTTTCAGGCCAAGTGCGATGGCTCACACCTGTAATCCCAGCACTTTGGGAGGCTGAAATGGGAGGATTGCTTGAGGCCAGGAGTTTGAGATCAGCCCTGGGCAACATAGCAAAGCCTTGGTCTCAAGAAAAACAAACAAAATTAGCCAGGCATTGTGGTGTGTACCTGTAGTCCCAGCTACTCAGGAGACTCAGGTGGGAGGATCTCTTGAGCCCAAGAGTTCGAGGTTACAGTGAGCTATGATCACTCTGCTGCACTCCAGCCTGGGTGACAGAGTGAGACCCTGTCTCTAAAACAATAAAATAAAATAAAAATGTAGCTACTTTCATACTATTTTTGCAAGGCAAAAATATCTCATCAATTTATGAAGAAGTAAATGAATGTAGGTGGGAAGAGTTTGTCATGGGGAGATATTTGCCAGGAACAAGAGGTCCCCAGAAGGAAAAATTTGAGGTTAGCTCTTCAGAGAACCAACTGATTGGATAAGAAGTAGTTTGGGTCCATTTCAGCCATTTCAGCCATTTCAGTTGGTTACATATGTACCTCTGTGCATGGGCCGGATTCCCTGCACACATGGAGGGTTTCCCACCATGACAAACACTTCGGGCCACGGTGCTGGCAGGTGGCTGGATGAATGTTAGGATGCGTCTCTTCCGTGGAGACTCAGAAGGGTCGCTCTCAGGTCAGGGTCCCAGGGGTTACCCTTCTCCTTGCTGGGTGGGCAGACCTCCAGGGGCCTGCTGAGGTATGTCTCAAAACAGATCTGAGGGGAAATGCAGGGTAGAGGGAATCACCATCAGCAAGATGAGAATAATTCTGCTTTTATTTAACTCAAAGTAGTGGTTCTCAACTAGGCAATTTTGCCCTCCTAGACAGAGTTAATGGATTTAGCAAACAAAAATACAGGACACCCAATTAAATTTGAATTTAAGATAAACAATGAATAATTTTTTAGTATAGGTATGCAATATTTGAGATATACTTATACTGAAAAATTATTCATTATTTGTTAGAAATTCTGATTTAAATGGGTGTCCTGTATTTTATCCAGCAGCCCTAACACCAGGGATCATTTGGCGATGTCTGGAGGTATTTAGGTTGTCACAGCTGGGGTGGGGGGCGCAGGGGGATTGCAATTGGGATGAAGCGAAATGTCTTACAATGCACAGGACGGCCCCCCACAACAGAGAATTATCCAGCTGAGGTTAAAAAATCTTTAACTAGATTCCCCAAGAAGGAAAGAAACCAAGCTACTCTGTGATGGATTCTCTGCCTTTTCCTTTTTTTTCTTCCAATCTTTCTTTCTATGAATATTTGCACATGGTTTGTTTTTTAAGTAAACCTTTTATAAAGGCATTACTTACCTTCACAAAGTGCACAAATCATTAAGTGCACAGCTGGGTAAACTTTTCTAAAGTGAACATACCGATGCAACCAGCCCTCATATCAAAAAGCAGACCACCGGCTGGGCGCGGTGGCTCACTCCTGTAATCCTA